TACCGATACAGCTAAAATAATGCCGATACCAATACTAATATCGGTATCGGTACATCACTAATATTCATGCCCTTATTTTGTGTAGAAAGTTTGAGCTGATTCCGACTTCAATTTTTTAAGTTATGGCCATCTTAAGAAAACGCCAAAATTCTGAAAAAGAACCCAAGGCTATAGCACATGGTTTTTTCAAAAAATGGCTGCAAAATTACCCCAATTTTTTATTACATTTTTCGGTACATATTGGTGTCCTTATGCTGTGTAGCAAGTTTGAGCTGATTCTGACTTAAATTTTTTAAGTTACGACCATCTTCAGAAAATGCCAAAATTCTGAAAAAAACCCAAGGCTATAGCTCATAGTTTGTTCCAAAAAATGGCCAAAAATACACCCACTTTACTTTATTTATATCTAGTGTTGTTCCCACGTCATTTTAAAGATGCAGCTGCCAGAAATAAAACCATTAACCTGATACACACCTTCAGGAACTACACCATTATCACATCAAGTGTTCAAAGGTAATTAAGTGAGTGGGCGTTATTCCTATTAATTGTTAATCTCAGGCAAATTCTCAAACTCTCTCCTTTTATAATTAAAAAAATTTGGCCCACAACCCTGTACAGGGAGTTTAGCCTGATTTTTTAGTAACTTAAAAAATTCATTAAAAATTCAATTTTTGATTTGAATCAATTATCTGTCGTATGTAATTTTGGTGTGGAAAATTTTGACATTAGTCATTTGTGACAATAAAACCAACCATTTTTAACCATTGTGTGCATAGCTCAATGGGACGTACATGTACATGTAGCCACAAATTTGCCAAATTAAAACTCGCCAATCACCAAAAATTTAGTACTTCACCAATATTTCTCACTCCAAAGACACCAGCAGTACAGTATACATGATCATGTACATTACCTGCCAGCTACACTGTATGTATGTACATGTATGTGTTATATTTCCAGGCACAGCTGCTATTCACACATACAGAAGGTGAGATGATTAAAGACTATGGAGCAGTTTAAAGGTTGTGTGCAAGGTTTGAGGATATTCTTTGTCAGGGACTAAAGGCTGGATGGTTCTTCACTGGGAAGGATCCAACATTCTGGCCTATTGTATTGGAAATATTATCAAGAAAACAAGAAATTGAATATATTGTTTGGTATGGTATATGTACATGTAATTAGTAATGTGTGTTACTATTGAAAGCTACTGATGATTGTTACATTATGTATACTTGTTCATTTACACATACTAATGTACATGATCATGTATAATTAGAAAATTCATTTTAAAGCTGTTACATGTACATTGATGTACATGTAGTGTGTGTACATTGTATATGAACATGTACATGTACATGTATACTTTTATTTTTATTATATTATTTTTAAATTTCCTCCTCCAGTCCTCCCTCCCTCCCTCTCTCCTTCACTGTCCTTTGGAGGGTAAGGCCTTTGTTTATTTACCTTTGATTGTATTACAGAGTCTATTACTAATAATAATGTACATGTATTGTACACATTTTACATTTTCCCTCCTACTGGTGGGCAGAATAATATTGTCCTCTCTCTCTACAGTAGGAGGAGGAGGATCATTATTCCATTAGTTAATTTATAATGTCTGTTGATACTCAATGGAATACTTCACTGGACGATAAAGGAGGAGATATTAATGGAGACACACCCCCATCTCCTCTGGAGAAGTAACAACAACAACAATAAACAACAAACAAGTAAACAAACAAGAGGAGGAGGAGACAGTAATACAGGACAAGTTAAAGGTATGTACATGTATCAATTAATAATTAAATGTGTGGGTGGATTGATGTGCATTAATAAGAATATCATTTACAGTAGATTTTGTTGTCTGAGTATTTCCCGTTAAAGTTACTGGCTAGTCTTGATGAGCAGTTGCAACATCCCAAGTGGGTGGTACCAGTACGAGCTAATGATGAACTGGAGACATTAATTAAAGCATCAATTAAACTAGCGAAAGAAAGTAATGAATAATTAATGAGTTGTGCAC